CATCCCAGCACTGTCTTGCCCAGTGTTAGATTTTAGTTTCCAGACCAACCCAGGTCAATGTACGGGTCACCCCAACTGAATGCAGCACATGGACTGTGATCCATCCAATACCAACACTCATTGGATTCAGCTCTTAAGCCAGCTGCAAATACATAAAACCAATGCTCTCATCCAACCCACATTTCACCATCTTAGCCACAAGGAAACCATAAGAGGAATGGTTAACCCTAAGCTGAAATCAAGACCTGCAATGTTTATGCCACACACCTGATTTGCAAACATAGTAACCTTATCAGAAGAGGAAATGAGGTTAGTTTGGAATAGCCTGTGCTTGGTGAAGTCATTTTGCTTTCAACTGACCACCACATTCCTTCCTAAATGCTCACCCACCATCTGCTTCTTAATCCATCCTGCTCCTCTGTTGTCAAGGAAGGATCTGCCTCAAACTCACTCTTTGGGAGTTTCCAGAAACAATCTTTTTTCCCCTTTATGAAAATCAGGATAATCTCTGCCCAGTTCCTGATTTTGGCACCACCTTCTATTCTCCACAATTACTTAAAAGTTATTAACAGTGGCTCCCCAATCCCACCGGAAAGTTCTTTCCACACCTCGGGATGTGAGTCACTGGGTCAGATACTTGGACCTATTTGAATCGACTTCTTCCCCTTTTCTATCTAATCTCCCATCTTTCTTAAGCTCTGAGCCAGTCAGAACGCCCTGGGCTGCACAAAGTGAAAGTCCCAGGGTCAACCAGCTTAAACAGTAAGAAACAAATCAACTATCTCATAAAATAAGAAGTGCCAGGTAGAAAGGCTTCAAAACTGGTTACTCCAGTAATTCAACCACATCTTGAGGGATCCTTCTCCACCTTTCTACTCTGTTATCTTCAGGTCATTGACTTAATTCCCTCATGGACATGAGAGAGTTTCTGCATTTCCAATAATCCCATGGAAATACACCAATGCCCAGCAGTAAAAGGACTCTTGGCTCTATATACCTCTTTAGAAGCAAGGTCACATTTTCAGAAACCGTGGCAGCCAGTCCCATATTTCATTGGTCAGAAGCAAATCTCTTGCCAATCCTTAAGCCAATAAATCATGAGGAGAATGGAACCACAAGAGGGTGTCTTGGAATACTCAGAACAGAACCCTCATACCTAATGGCACTTTAAAAATCAGATTTTGGCACTTTAAAAATCAGTCATCTGCCACCAAGGAGAGGGAAGTGGCCACTGAATCCCATGAGCTTCTGTCCATGAGCTTCACATCTCTGTCGTTTGTTTCCTTCCTGGTTTGCTGGAAGTATCATGTTTTCAACTTGTATTTTACTTTATCTTTTTAGCTAACATTATTTCCTTTTGTCCAAGCAAAGCATGTACATTATCATTAATTTTCTTCCACTAGAGATCCCCACTAAAGACCACTTAGTGTCCTCAGAATGCGCCCTCTGTTTAAATATGAGATCATTCTGAGCCTCAGCCCCTGTCACTGTTTCCACATACCCATTCTACTCTTTGGTCCCATTTACCATAGATCAACCTGTGTCACTCCAATGTCTTTGGTTACTTTTCTCTCTTCATAGGGATCAGCTCTGGGCCTCCCTGGTGGTGCAGTGGTTGAGAGCTGGGTTGCGAAGCTGCCCGCAGCCTCTGCAGCGCCGGTTCAATCCCCGGCCACAGGGCGAGGGTTCCACATGGCACACAGACCTCTCCTGCCGCGCCCACTGCTCCCCTCAGCAGTTTATCGTCAGTCTGCCTGTTCTGCTCTCTGCTCTGGCTCTGGTGAATTCTCTCACCCTCCCGCGCTCTGACTGTACCAGGTGCTTGTATAAATAAATAAATAAATCTAAACAAACAAACAAACAAAAAAAAAAACATAGGGATCAGCTCTGAGTATAGTGTTAAAATGTTTTTTCTAACATACTGCCTTCCTTCCTGAGGTCACTGGCTATTGGACCAGACTTCTCAATGAACATTCATAATATGTTCTAATCAACATCACATGTCATTCCAGAGATCCTATTTCCTTTGTGGCACTGCTCCTCACCCTCCATCCCCAACCCAACCTCCATGGCTGGGTGAAACCATGATGCAGGCAGAGTCAAGTCATGATTTGCAATCCATCTTGAGATAGTGATTAGTCCAGGGGTGGGCATGACACCCAACAAGGCCAATGAGAGATCTCGTATGGATTGAAAACAATTGGGTAAAGGACAGGGCACTTTTCCACCAGGGTAGCTAAACTGGGAAGATCTATATCTAAAATTTGAATTGGTGCCTTTCCTACCTGTCTGCAGATGCCAATACACAGAACCAAAGGATGAGGCAAGAGAGATAAAAGGAGCTCTGTTTGCTCTCCTGACTACAGAGATTGTCACCTATGGGCTTTCCAGCCATAAGGGTTAATTTACACCCTTCCTTCAAATGCCAGTGGAAGGGTCCTGACTGATATGTTTACCCTCCTGGTGTCCAGGGCACACGTTTACCATGGCCTCCAAGATGATACTATTTCTCTCTCTCAAAGCTCCGATAATTTCCAAGGAATAGCAAGTCCATTGCTCCATGGACAGAAAACAGAGATAGTTCTCTTCCTTGTCTCCTTTGTCTTTTCAGAGAAGATGTCATTTGCTATACAGAGTAAGAGTTTTTTGCCAGGCCCTGGACTTTGAATATAAACCATCCCATTCCCAGTGGATGATGGTAAGGTTGGTGGTCCTCACAACTTTTTTTTCCTTTTTTTTTTTTTTTTTTTTGCATAGAAGAACTAGTGTGTAGGCCAGAGGTCAGGGGGTGAGAGGATTCACCAGAGACAGAGTGGGGAGCAGAGCAGGCAGACTGACTGAAATGCACTGCTGAGGGGAGCAGAGGGTGAGACAGGAGAGGTCTGCTGTGCCATGTGGGTAACTCCCTGACCTGCTGAAGTTCGAATTCATGCTGCAGAGGCTGCAAATAGCTTCACAGTGCTGTGCTTAATCCCTTGCGCCACCAGAGAGGCTCCCAATTCTCACAATTTCTTTGCTTTTTGTTTGTGCTATAGAATCAGCACAATCAGATTTTTCTATATCTTCCCTTAGTCCATGTGATTACATATCTACAAAAGCTTAGACTTCTGGAGTCTCACTCTCTTCTCTGAGTCCCTTTGAATGACTTACTCAAGCTTTGTAATCATTGTTTTCCCCACTCTAATATGGGAATGACATTAGTCTTACCTTTTAAGATTACAGTGAAAATTGAGTTGTTATATGCAAAGGTTTTGATCATGCTCCCAAATGAAAAAAAAAAAAAAAACAATAAATATTAGCAGAGATCACTATCATTTCTCTTTTTTCATCACCCCCAATTTTTTACTCTGTCCACCCTCAAGTTAATCAAGTTTCACCCTTCTTGGTATTTACTGGGTCAACCCTCCCTGCCTTTGTTAGAACTCTCTCTCTTTTAAACCAGTTACCAGTTATAGCTGACCAACAAGTCAGATAATCACCAACTCCCTAGGTGTCCAACTCTCTGAAATCCTATTTGCCTTTTCACGTCAAGTTTGCTTTGTCTCTCTACTCCATGTGCTGGTGCACAAGTTCCTAAGCACCTCAACTTCCTATTCCCTTTGCCCGAGAAGCTGGTTCTGAGCTTTTGTTCAAGTCTTATGCACCATCTTGCCACCGCTTTTGCATTTTCACTTGCTACATCACATTAACCCAGACTGAGAGTCAAGTTCTTCCCCTTGGTTTCTACATGAAAACACTCACACATGGTATTTGTGAGCACAGCAGAAATACTGAGCATGGAGGAGCTCTCCTTCCTCACTGCTGCCAGATGCTTTACCTGACTTTTCTCTACTCTCACCCCAACTCTCTCCCACTTTCCCCAAATTCTTGCTCTCTGCACCATACAGAAGTTTTAGTTGATCCCTTTTTTCCCCTTGACACATGCTATATTATTTCTCTGAAGTCCTACCTTCAATCCCAAGCTGATTAGCTAGGTGTTTTTTGGTTTTTTTTTTTTTTTTTTGGTCTTCATTTTTTTTTATTTAAATTTTATTTTTATATTCCCCATACAATTACAACCCCCTTATTTTGACCCCAAACCCTCCTTTCCCCACCCCCCACCTTCCATAGAGTATCTCTGGTTCATAGTTGTTTGTTGATTTTGATATTTTCTTTCTTATAGTTATTCTTTTTCCTGGTCCCTTATTTAAGTTTTCTAGATTCGCTAGGTGTTTTCTTAAATAAAACAATTTCTTTCTTAAAAGGATTTCTGGTTAAAGACAGAATTTTCCATTCATTCATATAATTTATAGTATTTTATCTGAGATTTCTCTCCTCATTTTAAAATATTTTGATCAAATAGACAAGTCCCTTTCACATAGATTCTTCTTGGTTTTTAAGGCAAGCACTCCACTCCCAGATCCTCCTATTATCGTAAGCTGTGGTCTCAGATGCCAAATCCAGTTTTATTTTACTACCTGTAAAGGATACGGATTCCTTCTAGTTGAAAGACCTCATTTCAGAGAGGAAAGAAAATGAGAGAAATAGAAATGAACATTCCTCCTGGACCTTTAAGTTGCTCAGTTCCCTGTGTGCAGTAGTAAAAGCCCCAGTAGATGTCTGGTAGCCCAGACATCTGCTCACTCCATTGGTAATTTCCAGGGGACTCAGGAAACATATGTAATCATTGATAATTCTGATGGCTATTGGCAGGCTCTTTGTCACACTTGATACATGTGTACAATACAGAGTGATTTCCAATTAAGTCATGTCAGTTCCACTAATATGAAATTCCATATCATATCTCATGACAACAGTGTTCATCTCCTCCTCCTTGGAAAGATGAGTAAACTCTTTCCCCAACCTTGTACCTGTTAGTATGGTGGTAGACGTGCCTTTGAAGGAAATTTCTTCAGAAAATCTAGAATTACCCTCTATGAGGTCATATGGGCACTGTAGAAAGACAAATCACCCTCTATGAGGTCACAGGCACTGTAGAAAGACAATCTGAGGTGGGGCAAGTAGAGTGTAATCAGATATCATCATGGTAGATAATTAAATTGGGTCAAGGCCCAAAGAAAAACAGCTCCAAAGGTAAATCAGTAGGTGTATTTTTCACAAAAAGTGCCCGGGATCATTCCAGAAAGAAATGGTTGATCTGAAAAGGAGATCAGAAATCTTAAATCTGGAGAGGAAGTTACAAAGGAATGAGAATTCAAGGATTGGATACAGGTGAAGCAGATCAAACTCTGCTACCGGCAGAGCACATTCTGATTGGCTAACTTGGGTGTCATGGCTTTCATACCAAAGGGATGCCCCCTTAGCTGTCATCTGGGCAATCAAGGGGCTGTGTAGGGCATTTCCAAGGCAATTTCTGCTTCTTTCTCCCTTCCCACACTATCCTCATTCTTGACCTTTTTAGCAAAGTTCCAGACTGTTAGCTAGGGACACAGACACATCTCCAGGATGTTCTAGGTTCCTAGTAGAAGTTCATTTATGTACATAAAAAGTTGAGGAGAACTCCAAAGAAGTAACTCACCCTAAAATAAAGGACTTGGGCAGAGGAGCCGAGCCCAAACAATCCTCAAGCTCAGTGAAAGGAAGGTTCCATCAACAGCAGAGCATCTGCCTCTTGGATTTGTCTCCTGCCCAACTTCCCTCAGAGACTCATGTCGAATCCCAGAAATGACAGACTAAAAATAAAAAAAATAAGATTCTATATGAAACCGGGGTTCCTGTCATAAAACAAAAAATAAATCTCCATCCCCTTTCCACAGGCCAACACAGAGCAGAGCTTTGTACACCCAGAGAGATGATTCCATGAAGGCATAAGGCAGCCAGCTTTGAGACAATTCCTGGTGATCCCCTACCTCCTGGTATTCACACCTTTGAGCCCTCCTCTCCCACATTGTGTCAGGGTTGGTCTGTGTGGCCACTAGACAGTGCCAGAAGTTATAGAACATTGCTTCCAAGGTTAAATGACACTGCAACTTCAATTTTTCTCTCTCTTTCTCTCTCTGACATTACTCATTCTGGGGAAACCAGCCTCCATGTTATGTGGCCATTTAGTCAACCTGTGGCAATGCCTATGTGATGAGGAATGAAGGCCTCCTGCCAGCACCCATGTGAGTGAGCCTTTCTAGATGCAGATTTTCCAATCCCAGTCAAGCTTTCAGATGACTGCAGCCCTGGCTGACATCTTAATGTAACCTCATGAGAGACCTGATGCCAGCACCACCCAGTTGGGGCCCCCTGAATTCCTCACCCACAGAAAAGATGAGATGAAAAATGATGAGTCCAGCTCCTCAGCCCTCCCATCCTATGGACCTACACTGGACATGTGGTATGAGAGCAAATCAAATCTTTATTGTTTTAAACAACACGTATCTGGGGATCACTTGTACCTGCGGGATAGCCTTGTCTTGGCTAACTAAAACACTAGCCTTACTTCATGTGAAAGTGCAAATAAAGCCTATCTTCAGAAAACCACTGCAGAGCACTTACAGTTCCTAGCTGTCTCAATGAGGAACTAATAATATTTGGTTTGTTGCCGGAAACTTTCACCACACCCTGGACTCCTATGCTCATGGAAAAGTCTGGTTAATGAGGCCAAGACCTGTTGTCTGCCTAGTTGAGGGGTTCTCAGTGCAATGAGACTCACTGCAGAGTTTGATACCATCCAGTCCCCGGTCCACCTCCACAGAGCCAGCTTCAGGAAGTCTAGAGAGGGGTGAGGAGTCTACAATTTTAAAAGAGCACCAGGAGATTCTGATGCCGTTAGTCTGCATCAACTTTGGTCTGCATCAACTCTGGTCTGCAGTTGGGCTGAGCAACTCTAGGCAAATACATGGTAGAAAACCTTCTTGGGGGCAGTTGTGCTCAGTGAGGCAAAGTGGGGGCAACGCAATGCATGATGAGAGCAAGGATGCCACAATAGAGCAGAACTGAGAATTCAGCCTCTGGCATTCATGAGCTTTATTTCTCTGTACCTCCATTTCTACCTCCATAGAATGGGGATCTATTATGATCATCCTCAGAATTATTGCATGAATTCGATTAAATAGTGTATTTAAATTAATGGGAGTGGTTTCTGACATGGAATAAATGCTCAGTAAGTGGAAGGTGCCATTAATAGTTGTGTGGTGTTATAGAAAGAACATGCAATGAGGAGTTAGAGAGTGCCAGGACTGAGGTCTGCCACATAAAGTTATTATGAGAATTAAATCAGATAAAGGAAAGTGACCTACTCAGCACACAGCAAGCACCCTTCTCTTAGTGCCCACTCTCTCTAACAATGCTATGGCCTATGGCATTGCTTACAGTAAATGTAAGTTCATACACACAGGTTGCACCTAGTAGATTCCTGTATTTTCAGGTTTCCAAAGCAAGCAGCATATAATGTTCTGCCCCTGATTTCACATATTGCCATTTCTACATTACATTAAACAGTGTCACAAAAATAAACAAAAAAACAAACCATATTTTAGCATATTAGGGATAAAGGGGATCCTGGAGGTCATCTAGTCTAATACTCCCCTGTACTCCTTTTACAGAAGAAAACCTCAAGTTCTTGAGAAGTTAAAGGATGTGAGGAAACTCCACAGCTAGAAAGTGGCCATGCCAGTCCTTGAACCCTGCTTTCTCAACTCCCAGCCTTTTGCTCTTTGCTCCTAGATAGTGTGCTATACTTGGTATTCTCCTACGCATTTGCAGGGGAGAGGGGGGAAGGAAGAGAGAAAAAAACAACAAGCATTGAGAATGGGATCACTTCAATTACCACGGAGGAGGCATGAGCTGGGATGGTGCTGGGAGGGGAGGGAGTTCCAGGCCACTGCCTATGTCTGGCTCCAAGTTCCAGATGCTCTTTGTCATAGGGGCCTGTCCACACGACATCCATCAGCATGGCTTTCGCTGGGGAACACACCCTGCCTGGCTAACATTTTAGGGGCTGGGAAAGGGGTGGAAACTTCCTGGAGAGAGACTGGGTTCTATGCCCAAATTCACTGGGGATTCATGGGGACACAAACTTAAAAGGTAGGATGGTTTCAAGGAAAGCCTGCTAGATAGAGACTCAGTTCACACCTCAGTGCTGCTACAGACTTGCTATGTGACCGTGGCTCTCCCTTTACCTCTCAGAGTCTCAGTTCCCCCAGTTATGTCAAAAAAAAAAAAAAAAAAAAAAAAAGATAGCACTTGCTATTCTTCCTAATCCACGTGAGAAGCTATCACCAAGAGATTCTAATCTTAACTCCCTAATTTGATAGATGAGTAACTTATAACTTCATTTGTATGTGATCCTAGATGCAAGTGAGATAATGGTAAAAGGTGGTTCCCACCTCCTGGTAGCTAAGAATCAAGTCAAAGGAAACAGACCAACCACGCACTGCCTATTAAGAGTCCAGAGGCTGGAAACATTTTAGTAGCATCCATCTGGGGGTCAATGGAACTCTTGCAGACAAAAGGGAAAAATGCTCTCAATTTCTTCATCAAGAGAATTACATCAACAGATGGTCTGGATGGAGAAACCCAGCATGCAGGGTGGGAGAGAGTAGGGCGGAGCAGGGACCCAGAGAACGCTGGTGCTCTGAGTCTACACCCTAGACAAGGAGCTCAGGGGCGAGGGGAGGAGGCAGGCCTTGGGGGGTGGGGGAGGAGTGTGGAGGGAGCAAAGGCACATTAGCAGGCTCTGGAGATACATCCCAAACATCCGGAACCCATTGCATGCTCAGGGCACCGGCTCCAGAGACACGCTGAGCGGAAGATGGGGGGGTGGGGGATGAGGGAGGCTTTGTTTTATTTTTGGATTTTGCCAAATCAAAAGAATTTGGGAAAGTGTGGGAACTGTTGTACTGAAATGCAGACTCTGCCAGGTTGGCGTAGGCCTGCTTATAAGTAATTCAATCTGAGGTGGGGAGGAGCAGCAAGTGTGCATGCACGCACACACTTGCATACACTCGCGCGCACACACACTGCCTGCACAGGCCAGTGGCAGCTCAAGGCCTGGTCTACCCTGGTTGACTCCTGAGAGGGTGACCAAGGACAAGGGCTCCTGGCCAGTATTTATTCGTTCATTCACCGCAATATTTACAAGACATCGGGCATGTGCCGTGGGGCTAATGTGGGGAGCCAGCAGAGGTGCTCCTCCCTCCCCCGTATTTACACTCCGCTGGGCGACACGATGACGGATGGGAATGCAGGTCCCACGCCCCTTTACTCTGAGCCCAAAGAAGTAGAAAAGAGTAGACATTAGCGAACCGAAGAGAAGAGGCCTCCGCGGTAACGAGGGATGTAGCAGACACTGGCTGCTGCTACCCACCAGCCAGCCACACGTCCCATTTTCCTTCTTGCTCAGGTAGCATTCAGGAAGCCCTTGACCTTGGAGATGGGAAATACCTCCCGCAGACCTAGGGGATACCTACCTCACTCGTGGTCCTCTCACGACCCAGTAATCACAGAAGCAGACAGACATAGAGCCCAACTCCATCTACATGGCTGCACTGACTCTCTTGGAGTCCTCTTCCTCTGCTAAAAAAAAGTCCAAGCCCTCTGTCCTTCCCCCTTTTTCTTACTGGAATGTGGGAAAAGTGCCTGGAGGTGAAGACCCCGTTTTAAAGCCACAAGACATGTTGATTAGGGAAGATGGCAGGACCGGAGGAAGAGCTTGAGTGGTAGACTTCGCCGAGCCACGGTTCCGGGGCCAGGCTGCCTTCCGCTGCACACTTGTCAGGTGAGGCCAGAGACCACGCCAAACAGCCCTACTTGTCCAAGCAACGTGAATTGAGTTTTCTGTCGCCAGCAGCTGAGGGCGTTCCAAAAGGGCCCGAGAGCAGAGGTTACCTTGCCTTCGTGGAAAGCCATGTTGCAAGGGTAAATGCGCTGCAGCCCCAGGGAAGGCCACTGCAGCCAGGGAATGAAGGCCCAACTAAACTTCTTTTACAAATAAAGAGATTTCTCTTTTATTAAGTCTTCCTGGGAGGCTTGCTCTCTATTAGGTGCCAAGTGCATTATAGCAGGGGGCACAGCTTCTCCCTGGAGGGACATCAGCACCAAAACTCCTTTCACAAGAAGGCTGACAAGATCTGCCAACCATGCTCCGCAGTGTAAAGTAGCACCATAATTGCATTTGGGGGCACCACAGACCTGTTCGTGATGATGGAGAGGGGCAGGAATGAAAATGAGAAGGCAATTCCCTGTAAATTTTCCTATAGCTTCATGTCTATAAAAGGGACCTTCAGCTGCCTGGGCTGGTGTCCAGCTACTCCCTACCTGTGTGACATTAAGTTACATAACCTATATGAACCTCACTTTTCTCATCTGTGAAGTGGGGGGTTATAACAGACTCAACATCATGAGGCTATTTTAAGGAAACCCTTGGGAAAGCTCATGGGAAATATTATCTTCCAGATATCTTCCAGAAATATTAGTTAATACTGTTCATAATTTCACTGATTCTGAAATGCACACGGTTTCACCTTTTTAACATCACTGCACTCGTGATGTGCTTTTTAGAGGATAAATTGTCACAGATCATTGCAAGTATTTTTTTTCTTTCTTAATCTAGATTGACTAATGAATTTTTTCACAATCAGTAGCATCTTCGATTCAATGAAGTGTGGAATCATCCTTATTATTGGAGATGTTCTTTTTGTGAAAAGAACCACTTTGGTGGTCATATCAGAGTAGAGAACTATAAAGCACGTAGGCCCATCACTGTCACTGAGGAAGTGGTTTGGGGCGTTCATGAGGACCACCCTCCCCAGTATCTCTTGCAATGGAACTCAAAGGTTTCTGGTGAAGGGGTGGGCAACTTTCCACAAGGAAACAGCAGGTCCAGATGGCGAGCAACGATCAATGCTTTTTGTATTCAAGGTTATTCAAATATCCAAAGAATTAAGATTATACAGTCAGGTCACCTGAACAGGAAGGACATGAAAAAGGAGGAGGGAGGGGGGGCTGAGATTGCCAGGGGAGAACAAGCCTGCTCCAGCAGTGGATGTGGCAGAGGTGGGCTTAAGGCAGCCAGAATCTCTCCCCCTCTGGAAGTGATGCTGCCTCTAATAGAATCCTCAGCGTGACTGAATCTGATCACATAGCCCTTGAGGAATTGCAACTTATCATGGGGAGGTAGACACAAGGCAGGAGAGAAGGAAGATCCTCTGTTGGAGAAATGGGTACAGTTTCAAACTGAATGGCCTTGTTTTTAGCTCAAGCATGTGATACAGGTTATATGAGCAAACTTACAATTATTCATGATTATCATTGATACGACACTATTTATAAGCAGCAGTAGCCAACACGTATCAAATTTCTACTATGTGCAAAGCACTGTGGGCTTTGCATACTATGGGCTACTGCTATGGGGTAGGCACCCTGGACGTATTAACACATTCACCCTACACAGATGGGAAGTAACAGCAGTGATTCCTTTGACAGGTGAGGAAAAAAGACCAGAGAGATCAATTAACTTTTCTACAATCATACATCTGGCACACAGCAGAGCTCAAGTTCAAACTCAATTTGTCTGGCTCCAGAATCTGGGTTAAAGACGATTCACGACAGAAAGTAGAATTTCTTCTTTTAATAGCAGTGTTCCAGTTGGTTCCAACTGCAGAGTCTGCTGGGTAGGTGTAGCTTTTCCCCTGCCTGGAGAAACTCCATCACACCTCTGCCCTCAATACACATGGCCAAAGGCTTGTTGTGGACCGTGGTCTCCACCTGAGGGTTCCTCTCCCAGACAGTACTCCAGTAGGGTCTTAGTTAACTTGTATTGCCAGAACAAAACGTCATGCCCTGGGTGACTTAAACAACAGAAATTTATTTTCTTACAGTTCCAGAGGCTGCAAAGTCCAAGACCAATGTGACAGCAGGGTCTGAGGACCCTTCCTGGCTTGCAAGGGCCCCCTTCTCATTGTGTCCTCATAAGAGAGGGAGGG